GATGCAAGACCCACCTCAGTTATTTTACAACTTGCGACAAATCCCATGTTAAACCTGAAGGGAGAGTCGAGGATGTCATAGTAAGGTGGACAAGTTTGTGTTTCCAGTTGACTTCTTAATTTTGGACTGCGAAGTTGATGCCAAGGCACCAATCATTCTGGGAAGACCTTTCCTAGCCACTGGACGTATCTTGATAGACTGTGAAAAAGGTGAACTTACCATGAGAGTGGCTGATCAGTGTGTGACTGTCAATGTTTTTAGAACGCTCAAATATGTTGATGACACTGAAGAATGCCAAGGCATTTCTGAATTGAACTCAGTGATTGAAGAAGAGACTGAACTTCTTTGCCAGAACAACTTCATTCAGCTAGCAGAAAATGAATATTGGGTGGATGATGAAAGCTTAGTGGAGTCCGATGACTTTCCAATTTTGGAGGAGCAATCTAGCTTAGTACAAGTTAGATCAGGTATGAATTTTGAACCTCTGAATTTTGATGAATTCATTTCTCCTAAGCCTTCATTATTGCATGCACCCAATCTAGAGCTTAAGACTTTGCCAGGGCATCTTAAATATGTTTACTTAGGTAGCGATGAGACTTTACCGGTGATTATTTCCGCTAACCTTACTGCTAACCAAGAGCAAAGTTTGTTAAGTGTTTTGATGCAGCATAAGAAAGAATTGGTTGTACTATGGCCGATTTGAAAGGCATTAGTCCCACGATCTGCATGCACAAGATTCTGCTAGAAGATTCCACGGCAATTCAATTGAACCAAAAAAAGACTCAACCCTGTTATGAAGCAAGTGGTGATGAAAGAAATTCTGAAATGGCTTGATGCTAGAGTGATCTACCCTATTTCCAATAGCTCATGGGTGAGCCCTATCCAATGTGTTCCGAAGAAAGGAGGCACGACGGTGGTTACGAATGAGGATAATGAGCTATTACCCACTCGCACTGTGACTGGATGGAGGATATGTATGGACTATAGAAAACTCAACAAAGCTACGAAGAAGGACCACTTTCCTTTACCTTTCATCGACCAAATATTGGATCGATTGGCCGGCAAAGCATTCTATTGCTTTTTGGATTGGTACTCGGGGTACAATCAAATTGCCATCGCACCAGAGGACCAGGAGAAGACTACATTTACTTGTCCCTATGGCACTTTAGCCTTTAGGAGGATGCCTTTTGGACTCTGTAATGCCCCGGCAACGTTTCAGCAATGTATGCAAGCTATATTTTCAGATATGGTTGAGGATTTTCTGGAGATCTTCATGGACGATTTTTCTATTTGTGGGGATGATTTTGAACGATGCCTCGGTAATTTAGCAAAAGTTCTCAAGAGATGCGAGGAGGCTGAGTTGGTCTTAAACTGGGAAAAATGTCACTTCATGGTGACTGAAGGTATTGTATTAGGCCACAAAATTTCACACAAGGGTATTGAGGTAGACAAGGCAAAGATTGAAGTGATTGAAAAATTGCCACCACCAACTTCGGTCAAGGAAATAAGAAGTTTTCTTGGACATGCTGGATTCTATAGAAGGTTTATCAAAGATTTCTCCAAGATTTCTAAACCCTTGTGCACATTGCTTCAACAAAACCAACCCTTTGTGTTTGATGAATTATGCCTCGGCGCGTTTACTGAGCTAAAGCGACAACTGATCTCGGCACCCATTGTAGTCCCTCCCGACTGGACATCACCATTTGAGCTGATGTGAGATGCAAGCGATTATGCCATAGGAGCTGTTTTGGGGCAACGGCGAGGTAAAATCTTTCATGTTATTTATTACTCTAGCCGCACTTTAAATGAAGCACAATTGAACTACACCACCACTGAGAAAGAATTACTTGCCATAGTATTTGCTTTTGATAAATTTAGACCTTACCTAATAGGCACTAAAGTTATTGTTCACACTGATCATTCGGCTATAAAATACTTAGTGAACAAAAAGGATGCCAAGCCTAGACTTATTAGGTGGATCTTACTTTTGCAAGAATTTGACTTAGAGGTGGTAGATAGAAAAGGAACTGAAAATCAAGTTGCTGATCACTTATCTAGGCTAGAGAACAATTCTGAATGCCATGACACTGTAGATATCCAAGAGGAATTTCCTGATGAGAAAATTTTATATGCCGCGGCAATCCCGTGGTACGCTGACCTTGTTAATTTTCTTGTTAGTGGAATTGTGCCTTTTGATTTGAATAGTCAGGCTAAAAAGAAGTTCAAGCACGATGCAAGGCACTATTTTTGGGATGAGCCATATCTGTTCAAACATTGTGCCGATCAGCTCATTAGACGATGTGTACCTGAAGAGGATCAAAGTGATATTTGTACCATTGTCATTCGGCCCCAAGTGGAGGCCATTTTGGTGGAGCAAGGACTGCTGTAAGGTCCTGCAATCAGGATTTTACTGGCCAACTTTGTTTAGAGATGCCAAGCATTTTACAAAGGATGTGATCGATGCCAACGGACTGGAAACATCTCCAACACATGAGATGCCGCTGCAAAATATTTTGGAGATAGAGTTGTTGATGTGTGGGGCATTGATTTCATGGGACCATTCCCATCTTCTGAAGGAAAATTATATATATTGCTTCTAGGGATTATGTGTCAAAGTGGGTGGAAGTAATAGCAACTTCAAAGAATGACTCCAAGACCGTACTCAAGTTTTTGCACAAGTATATTTTCACTCGGTTTGGAGTATCTCGTGCTATCATCAGTGATGAAGGAACCCATTTTGATAACAAGTTGATTGCCAAGGCATTGCTGAGATATGGAGTTCGACAAAAGATTGCCACGGCATATCATCCGCAGACAAATGGCCAAGCTGAGATATCTAATCGAGAGATCAAGCAGATTTTAGAGAAAGTGGTGAACCCAAAGAGAAAGGATTGGTCGCCAAAGTTGGATGAAGCACTTTGGGCGTACAGAACAGCATTTAAAACTCCTTTGGGGATGTCACCCTTCAAGTTAGTGTATGGTGAACATAAAGCTTATTGGGCTATCAAGCGATTGAATTTCGATGCTCAACTAGCTGGGGAGCAAATATTATTAGAACTTACTGAAATGGAAGAGTTTAGAGAACAAGCATATGAGAATGCTCGGATATACAAGGAGAAAACCAAGAAGTGGCATGACCAAAACCTGATGCCACGATATTTTCATGTGGGGCAACAAGTCTTGCTTTACAACTCTAGACTTAAACTCTTTCCTGGGAAGCTAAAATCTCGATGGTCAGGGCCATTTGAGGTGCATTATGTCTATCCCCATGAGCTGTTGACATCAAGAGAATAGACAATGGGAAGATCTTCAAGGTCAATGGCCAGCGTCTGAAAGCCTACAATGGAATTCCACCACCGCACAACAAGGACGTGTTACGGTTGTACGATACTGAAGCGTGCTCAGAGGAGAACCAAAATTCGATGCCTCGTCATGAATTTGTGTCTGTGCATAAATAAAATTTAACATTCAAGTTTTTTTTTCTTTAGTTTTATTTTATTTTATTTTGTAATTAATTTTTGATCTGATTTGTAGGGACCACATTACTGCAAACCGTACAAGGAGCAGTTACCAAAGGGAGGAAAGGACAAAGCATTAATTGGAGAGATATTCTTTTGATTTGTTTCTTTTTATTTAATTTAATTTCTGACATTTCTTTTTCTCTTTCCACAGACTTGTCCTATCACCATCATTACCTTTTGGCAGTTTTTTTTCCTTCCCTATACATGCACAACCCCCCACCCACTAATTCCTCTCTTAACCGTCCTATCACCCCTTTTCCCTCCCAAATTTTTAACTTTTTCTTTCTCTTTCTTTATTCATTTTTTCTTTTTCATGTTAACTTTTACTTTTTCTCTCTCTTTTACTCATCTTCTTCCCTTATTCTCTCCATAGCCGAAATACATCCAAGTTTTTAAAGCTTTCAAAAGATTCTTCATTTTTCATTTTTCTTACTTCAAAAACACTGAAAATGGTGCTCTCAAGACCAGCTCCAACCGACACGACCGCTTGGCAACAGTTTGAGAACGATGAGGCCAAGGCTCGGTTCCAAAACTTCATGAACCGAAAACTCTTTTTTGAGTTGGGATTTATTTTTACCGAGGAAACCAATGGTGGTTTTGGACCCGATGTTATGGACATCGTGACGCAGCTCAAGTGGCAGAAGTTTGCCCGTCATCCGGGTTCGGTGAACACCTTATTAGTTAAGGAGTTCTATGCGAACATTTCCAAGACCAATCAACACTCCATCTTTGTTCGAGGTAAGCAAATCCGTTTTACATCCACTGCTATTAATCGTTATTTTCATTTACAGGAGGTAGTAGACGACCATGCCATGTTCGAAGAGGAAGCCGATAGCAACACATACGATGGGGTCTTGGAGGACCTTTGTTTTGAAAACACTGAGTGGAATGGACGACAAACGAGTAGATACTCGGTCAACCGAGAACGTCTTCAGCCGCGCGTAAAGTTATGGAATCATTTTCTCAAGCATAAACTAATGCCCACTTCCCACAACACTACGGTATCACTTTCACGCTTATTGCTTTTACATTCTATGATAGTATCCCGTCCGATCGATGTGGGTCGTATTATTATTCAGCAAGTTCATGACTGTTTGTGTAAAAAGGCAAGTGCTTTGGTGTTTCCTAATTTAATTACCGCTTTATGTCATAAGAAAAAGGTTGAGGAAAATGCTTTTGATGAAATTTTACCTGAATTATCAGGCATCACTAGGGCTAGACTTCCACTATTGTTGGGACTTGAAAATCCCAAGTCTAAAGACCTTGTTCATGAGCAATCTGCAGGTACTACAGAATCGAATGCCGAGGCAAGGTTACTTGCTCTCGAGGAAGCAGTGACGCAGACGCAAGCTCAACTGTATGCTTTACACGGTGACATCCATAATTTCTTTGGATACGTGAAGCATAGAGATGCTATAGTGGAATCTTTGTTTCAAGAAATTATTCCCCACGGTCAACGGAATTTCCCTGGTTTCCCAGACAAAATTCTACCGGCATTCAATGCTGAGGCATCTCTAGAGCCTGAGCAAGATGCACTCGATCCTCCTGCTGCTGACCCTACTCCTTATACACACCGGTCTGAGACTCCTGAATATCCGCCCACTGTCCCTGTCGAAGAAACACCCAGCCCCGTCCCAGCACCCAATCCTTCTTATGCACAACGTAGTGGTCACCGCACCAAGACCACGGCTGGACGCATTGCGCACTATTACTCCACTTCTTCCGAGTCCATCCCAGCACCTATCCGAAAGCGCACCCGACGAGGAGCTGCTAGCACCTCCAAAGCACCACCACCACGTAAACATTGAGGTACCTCTCTTGCATCCATTTTCACTTAGTTGCATTTCATTGCATAACATATAGTTTATAGTTAGTTTAGTTCTCTTTAAAGCATTGAGGACAATGCTTCCCTTAAGTTTGGGGAGGTATTGTTCTTGGTAGGTCATATGCATGATAGCATTAGCATAGTATTATGTCATGGCATCAGTAAATGGTAGGACAGTTAGATGAAATGTTTTGAGGATACCCGATGATGATAATTTTTAGGCTAGAATCTGAATGTAAATGACTGTTGAGAATGATAGAACTCACTCTAGGGCTTGATGCTTTGTGAAAAATATTTACACGATTTGTATGTTTTCTATACTTAGAAAATTTAGGAAATTTTTGAAGGAACTTTAGTTAGTCTTGGCATTGAAATATAGTATGGTGTTTAAAGAAAAATCAAAACAAACTCCCTTAGAAATGAAACTGTGAATAAATGCTTAAGTATAGCTGTAGAGGGACACTCCTCTTTGCCGTGGCATTTCCTGGAACTTTCTTTAATAAATGGAAGCCTTGTGCATATGAGTGAATGAAAGAAGTCACGGGATGACTCTACTTAACTAGCTCGGGGATGGAAGGTATGCACCCTTTCATCTAGAGTGTGGGAGAGTAGGTGTGATGAGCTGACTCCCTTCGTAACAGTTTAAAAAAAATATTCAAAGAAGGGAGTAAAAATGTGCTTAATGATAAGTAAATGCCTTGACAAAAACTAGGGGACTTGATTAGAAATTGTCTAAATTCGCTAAGTATAGATTGGATACAATCACGCACACACACTACCACAAAGGATTTTGACCTAGGGAAAAGTACTTGAATTCTTGATAAGTCTAGCATGTTGAAGCCTATCATTCTGAGGGTTAAAATTCAATTTTGTCCTACTGTCTTACTATCGAACTTTGCCATGACATTATGCTTATATAACTGCTATCCATTGCTTGAGGACAAGCAATAGCTTAAGTTTGGGGGTGTGTTAACTTCCTAAAAAGGCTACTTTTAAAGCCTTTTTCACTTAAGTTATTGTTTGTTTAAAAGCTCATTTTAGTCATTTTAGGATCATGTAGTTGCATATAGTTGCATTTGGTGGTTGTGCTATTTTATTTCTTAATGGAGCTGTTTGAGGGAAAGGTGCAGTTTGTCTATGGTGTGCAGGGAATAGCAAGAAAAAGGATTCTTTGGGAAGTAATGCAGCGATCACACGTTGCTAAAGCAGATTGAAATGCCTTGGCATTTCTGCCGCAGAAAAAGATAAAAAGATATTTCTGCATAAGGGCAGCTGGCACTGGACAACTGTCTATGCACGTGAAGGACTGCTGTAACCGCCTGCCAGAGCTGCCAAAGGACCACTGCCACTTGGAGGATAAGGTTCATGCACAACATGTGATTCTAGGGGTATGAGGGGTATTTTGCACCCAACAACCTCATCATTACCCCTAGATATTTTTATTATATATGACACCTCATGGGAGAGAAGGAAAAAAGGACAGAGAGCGCACACATAGAGCAGAAAAAATCACATTTTTATTTCTTCTTCCTTGGGATATTCCTCCATTGATAAAGCTCCAAGGAGTGGCAAGCTAGGCGCCGGAAAGCTAGCGAGCTAGGTGGTTCGTGGTGGCCGAGAGGAGACCTTTGGTAGCGCGTCGAAGGCTTCTTCTCACTTCCCTTTTGCTGCTATTTTTCTATTAATTTGTGGGTTGTTGGAACGAATATTTTCATGACTTTGTGTTTGGATATTTCGAACCCCACCATGAACTAACTTATTTGGTGGTGGTTGGTTGAACGATTGTTTAAACTTTATTTTTAGGGTATATTTAAGTTTATTTTGGGTTCTTTATTTGCTTTGCTTATGAATGCTTCACCATCTAGGCTTGTAAGAGGCATGGAAATGTCCATCTCTTAGATGAAGGTTAGGTATTCGGAAGAATCCTAAGCTAAAAATACTTGTAAGTATTCGGAAGAAACGCAAGATAAGATCCTCATAAGCAATGTGTTATGGTATTTTCAAGGTTTGAACCGCCTAGGAATATTATAACTGTAATCCCTAGATCTCAAGAGACTAGGATAGGATTTCAACGACTAAAAAGGTGTCTTTATCAATAGGGTAGGCTGTCCAACATCGTTGAGTGAGAGCAGATGCCTTGGCATCCTATTCTGTTAGGTTCTTTTGAACACCTTAGGAAAGCCCTGTCGATTAAGTAAAGACAAGATAGCTTAAATATACTTGAGAAATAAATTTAGCAACCTTAGACCAATCCTTACCATTCATTTCATTGGAAGCTTGTCACGTGAGGATTATTTTTTCTTATTTTTTATTTTTTACTATCTTTACCATTTCTCATTGCCTCAATATTTCACCATACTCAACATTAAACATCCATCATTACCACTGCATTTCCATTATACACCATCACACACAATCTGCATCCACCAGCATACACATATCATTGCCGTGACATTTGTATATCAAGACTAACTATACTTAGATAGAATATTGCTTTGGTTAGACTTTTGTGATTTCACCCAATTCCTGTGGAGACGATACTCACTCATCATTATATTACTTGAGCGATTGTGTATACTTGCACATTATTTGCGTATATTTTATAGTACTCACAACACGCGAACATCTCTCGAACCTCAAAACCTCCTAAGAAAAGGCTACTCTTGTAGCTCCTACAACCTTAAGGCATTAAGTTTCATAAATAAAACAGATTAAAGCATATAAAAACAACCATTCATTGAAATAAAACTTAAACATCCATGCGAACTCCCACCAAATACGATTAGTTCATGGTGGGGTTCGAAATACAAAAACACGAGGCAAGTTCCATTCGTTCCTTACAACCCAATAACAAAATATGAAAGTAAAGAACTAAGTGGATGAGAGAAAGCTTTGACGTGCACTGCCCAACTAAGAACTGTTCCCAACGAATTGGCTCCTCTTGGACGCTTAGGACGCCACTCCCTCAGGCTTGTCTAGGAGAAATGCCACGGCAAGTAGGATTGACGGAGAAAGATAAGACCTTCTTTTTCTAACTTTTTAGGCTCAAATCTGGGTGGAACCAAAGTCTTTAACAATGTGGCTTCATCCTCTATTTATAGGGAAAAACTAATCCTAGGACTTGGTGTTGACTATCATAGAAAACCCTAAAACCATGGTTAAGATACTTGAAAGTTGGGCAAAACATGCTATGATACAGTCTGAGTAGCTGGCTGAGTGACCGGCATAATCCCTTTACAGGCGCCCAAGGACAAACAGGATCTGCAGTGTCAGGCGCGTCATCAGCAGAACCGACGGTTGCAGTGTCGGTCCCTCCAGGTGGATCTTCGAGTTGGATTTCTTGGGCAGAGCTCTCGGAAAGTAGGATACAGCTGGCTTCAAAAATATCTTCTCGCACTTTAATCACTTTCGAAATGCTGGTTGAACTTGGCAAATTCAGTTTGCTCAACAATCTCCTTATGTCACGACATTTCTTTCCTCTTCTCATTGCTTTCAATTCCTGCATCATCAAACAAAACATCTTTCCCAAGACAACACCCTTTAAAAATAAAATGCCGCGACAAACTGAATTCCACCACATGCAACTAAATGCTTCTAAATGCATCTACATGGTCCTAAATGAGCTATTAAACACTCAATAACTTAAGTGAAAATGTCTCAAAATGTGACCTTTTACGAAGTTATCACCAATTCTCTCTCAAAGAAAAACACTGATAAATGATCATTCTCTCACTGGTTGCCATTCCCACCCAAACAAAGAGTGAACCGTCGAAGACAGATACAACCAACTTATTCCACCAACAACTATAATAACATTAGAAATGACACATTAATCAAAGAGAGAGTTAAATTATTAAAACTTTAGACTACCGTAAATGATTTTTACTTGTATATTTCTTTATATTAACATATAATTAGGGTTATAGACCAACAAAGTACTTAACAAATTAATCATGAATTGTTTGTATAATATTTATTTATATTTATTTATCAAAATAAATAAATAAATATGAATTGCACGAATCATCTTACCTCAGTTGTTAAAGTAATTGTTGTTGTTCCTAGAGGTCACGAGTTCGAGCACCGCGACTGTAGCAGGGTGATTGACTGTTCATTGTCAAATGGTTGAGAGTATTTAGAATAAATAATACTTTCTTAATCACTTTAGTTTAATAAATAAGTTCATCAAAAAATAGTTTAATAAATAAATAAATAAAGTTAATTAAAAAATATTTGATTTATTTATGTTCATAAATAAATTTATTTATTTAAAATTAATATTTTGAATAGATTAATATATATAATATATATATATATATTTAAATATAACTATTAATACTTATTTTGACTTCGATCAAGTCTTTCTAAACCCTTTCTATTTAGACTTTATAAAATTTAGAATTTAGGATGCGTTTGGTTCACGGAATGTAAGATTACCAGTGGGAATATAAGATTACCAAGGAATAAGATTACTGAGAATGTTGTATTTTGTGTTTGGTTGGTTTAGCTGGAATGTAAGATTATCGTGTTTGGTTAAAGGAATAAAAGATTATTAGAATATATATTTGACCAATTATCCTTATTCTATATTTTTTTAACAAGTTGGAAAATATTTATATATCCTCTTTAAAAAATTTAAATTCATAAAATTTATATAATTTTTTTACAAAATTGAAAATATAAAAAGTTTTAATGAAATGGTAAAATTTTATTTAAACCCTTAAACTTCATATAAAATTTTAATTATAGATTTTTTTGTAAATCTAAAATAGTTTAAGGATAAATTTGTAATTTAACATTCGTAGAATTTTTATTATTCAATGACAGAAGAAAAATATTTTTGAAAGAAAAAAAAAATTTAAAGGCATTTAGTCCAAAACATCGCTAATCCAACAATACCTAAAAAAAAAAAAATAACGACATTTCTAATAATATACCCAAAAATACTACTATTAATAAACTTATTTTACCTAAAATAAAATTTCGAACTAACCAAACAAAGAATATATATTATATTCTCATGCTAATCTTACATTCCCTATCTAAACGCCCGGTTAAGGGGGGAGATTAGGCACTAGAGCAGAGAATTCTTATTGGGTTAGAGCCTTTGAGGGGCGACAATAGCTTAAGAGAGAAGATAGCTTACAAGCCAAGTAGCTCAAGCAACAAGTTCTTCCAAGGGACCCTCAATCTTCCACTCCACCATCTGCAGTTAGCGTCTTTTGCCGCTATATTATCTGTGATTATGGAACTGCAAGGTATTATCAATGAATATTGTTAAAGTTTCTACTTTTAATCCTTGCCTGACATTTTCTTTACCTTCCCTAATTCTAACCCTATAATAAACATTCTGAAACCCATTTTTATTAAGTTTGAATTTTTGAGTGCAGCGGATGGTAGTAAGTCTCAGTCGGTGGATACTGCTGGAAAAATAAGGAAGTTCAGATGGATAATAAAGAATTTCTCCGGTATTAGAGACCAAAAGTTGTACTCTGAAAATTTCATTGTTGATGGCAACAAATGGTAACTTGATCAACTTCTTGTTAGTTATATTTTAGTTTGCATTTAATCTCACAAGCCTTCAATCACCTACATTTTGCATGCAAACTTATTTGGCAGGCGGATTCTTATCTACCCAAAGGAGGACAAGTTGGACCATTTGTCAGTTTGTCTAGATGTTGCAGATTCAGCTACTTTGCCTTCGGGATGGAGTAGATATGCCCAATTCGGGTTAGCAGTCATCGACCAAATTGATCGTAAAACATCCATTACAAAGGTAAATTCTTTACAGCAATCACATATGTGGACATATGTTTATTGCTTTTGGGTTAGGTTGGGCTGTCTCATTTGCTCAATCCTAGCTCCTAAGGATGACTACATGAATCAAGGGGTTTATAATTCGCTTAGAACGGTGCCGCAACGAAGAAGTTTCTGGGTTACATAGGAAACTTCAAATTCATATTGGTCATGAGTTTCATATAAAATCTCACATTGTTCCTCAAGACCCTAGCTTTTTTATTCGAGTGGTTGATTATATACTCTTGTTTTAATGCTTTTGGCAGTTGCTATCATGTGTTCAACCCAATGGAGGTTACTTGTGGCTTCCTTTGTTCTTATCTCTTACTGAATTACACAACCCTCGAAGAGGTTATCTCGTCAATGATGCATGTTTAGTTGAAGCCTATATTTCCACTGATACTACAGGTTTGATTTCACATGAATTGATAGTCTCACATGAATTCATAGTCGAAACTGATTCGGCCATAGGCAACCAGAAAACTACTATAACCAGATCAGTAGAAATCACAGCTCCATCATCTCAGCCTTCTTGCCAGATTGCGGTAAGTCATCTAAATTAGTTGTTAATGTTAATGCATTTATGTATCTCAGTTATTGATTTCTTTTCTACCATTTCAGGCCATTGAACCCAAGACTCCTACCAAGGAAGATATGAACTCATCTTCACTAGCTTAGAATCTGATCTTTTGAGTTCCAAAACTGTTTTTTCTCAAGAAGAGGCAAGGATGGCTCTAACTAAATTAGACGAAGCCTTGAATATGACTCCAATTAATTTTCACGATTCAGGGAAGTTTTCTCCACTCAAGCAGGCATTCAAGATCCTAGCTAGTGTTGGTTGTTCCTGTACCAACCTTACAATTGAGCAAAAAAATGAGCTGTTGGCCATGGATGAAAGCTTGAAAAAACTAGCTGAACGTGCAGCAAAAGCTGTGGAGGACAAGAACCGACTTACTGCAAAGGAATCTATCAAGCAGACAGTAACTAGCAATTTGGAATGTAGCCTAATCAGATATAAAGAGGTTGAATCAGAGGTGAAACAGTTGGAGCAAAAACTTACTGCCCTCCAGGAGCCTTAGTTTAAAAAAGCACCGCTTAAGCGCAATTAAAGCGCTAAGCGACTCGAGCGAGGCCCCTGGCGCTTCAGCATAGCAAAAGCACTACGAATTCATTAAGCGGTAGTAATCGGCGCTTTTGCAGCGCTTTTAGCAAAGCGCTAATCGGCGCTTAATCGCGAGTTTAGAAGATACGATTCTGGGCTTTAGCAGATACGATTTTTGGGCTTATTTAGGGTTTAGTGGGCTATTAAATTATCAGTTTTGGTTTTTTTTTCTTGTAGCTTCACCTAAGAAACGAAATAGATTGGCACAATCTAGATTGAATGACATGGTGTTTGTGAAATTCAATCATACCTTGGAGCGCAAAGCTAAAAGTAAGGAGGCCGATCTCATTCTTTTGCAAGATATTGATGAGAGCAATGAGTGGTTGATGGGAAGAATGGAAGAAGATGAAGATGATGATGAGGCGGTGTTTGTTGGTGAGGATTGACATAGAGTGATGTTGCTAACGCTTCCGGTGCATATGAGCCTAATTATCTAACTAGAGCATCAAAAGTAGTGAATGATGGAGCCGGACCATCGAGAAATGATAAAGGAAAATCTCCTGCTCATAATCCTATCTCTAGTAGGCCATCTCGTAGATGCTTAGTTGATGAAGATGAGATGGAAGAAGATATTGGAGTGTCTAGTGATGAAGGAGATGGTGTTGTCCGAGTTGATGACGATGACGATTTAGAGGATTTTTAGTTATAAGGAATTGAGGGTTTAGAAAAATACTTTTGTTCATCTCACTTTAGACTACTTTTTGTGTAGACCATCTTTTGAGATTAGTATGCTTGTATAGTCGTATGGTTAATTGTATATAAGTATTTAAGTGTTTATAACTTATAAGTTATAAGTAAATTGAGAATTATATTTTGGTGTTTAAGTACTTATAAGTTTTGAATATATGTATTGAGACTTTGATATTAAGTATTTATAAGATAATTTATAAATATTTTGTTTTTTTTGTGAATTCGGCCTTTCTGGCGCTTCTTGTGCATAAAGCGAGCGCTTTCGCTTAGCGCTTCGGCGTCTAGGACCCTAGGCGCTTAGGGCTCTGGCGCTTCTTGTGCATAAAGCGAGCGCTTTCGCTTAGCGCTTAGCGCTTCGGCGTCTAGGACCTAGGCGCTTTAGGGCGCTTTACTTTTTAAACCAAGCCAGGAGCAGTTGAAGAAGCACAAAAGAAAAGGGAGAATATGTTGGCCGAACAAATGGGGATATTCAAAAGTTCCAAGGAAATGAAAATGGAGTTGGAAGCGTTGGTGAAGGAATGGGCAGAGTGCGAGGCCAAAGCCAAGGTTGCTGAGGATGAAGAGAAGACCGTTGAGGTTGAATGGGGAAGAATGAAACGTTTCATCTCTTCCGTAAAAGAAGATGTTAAGAAAGCATTGGAGGAGCAGTATGGTGGTGAAGAAGAGGTAGCGCTCTCTGATTGTCATGTGTCAAACTTGATATTTCTTTTGTGGTTACTTTTAGTATATACTTTTTATCTTAGCGGTGTCCTTCAACAGTTACCACAGACATCCTGGGTTCAACAACACACTGTTTAAATTTACTAAATATTCAAACGCATTGCTCCCAAATTTTGTTAATTACCAATTTAAATTTGCAATGCTGTTTATGTTCACTGCAAATGTTGCTGTGTGTTTTGAACTTCACATTTCAGATAAAATTGAAAAAAGAGCAAGAAAAAAAGGAGCAAAAGAGAAGGGAAAAAGAAGAGGCACATCTCTATACTGTTATAAAGGTACAACATTTATTATGCTGCTCTCTCTCTCTCTGTAGATTTAAATATTTCTTATCTTATTTTTGTATGCCATCAGGTTGCACGTAATGAAGACCTGGTTGAGCAGATTGGAAGAGATATATACTTTGATCTAGTGGATCATGAAAAGGTTCGTAGCTTTCGAATTCAGAAACAGACGCTTTTAATGTTTTCAAGGTACTTTGAATATCAGGATAGTTCTTCTGTGACTTGTTTTCTTTAATTATCTGGTACCCAAAAATGAAACAAGTGGAAAGTAATTCTGTAACACCCATGACCTTCTTTTCTCGAGGTTTACTTGGATTTTTCTTCCTGCTTGTAATTTCTTAGGGCGATTTCCAGGTCATTCTGATGTATAAATGAAATAGTTCCGATCTTCTAGTATTTTTTAGGAGGCAATTTTGCACTTGGGGAACAAACTGATTGTTTTAGATCTTTTTTCATGTCAAATATTTAAATAACTGACAAAATCTGCGGATAACTGAGTGGATTTAAAAAAGATGTTGAGAGCTAAAAGTTCCACATTGGATATTTTTGAGTTAAAGGTACTAAATAAAAGATAAAGTAATCAGACTCTAATTTAAATAATAATTTTGCATTAGCTTTAATTTTATTTGAAAATACTAAATATTTAAATGGTTTAATAACCTGAATTATGTTTCTCATTTTATCTCCCGAGGATCTTGGGGCCTGATTAAAATTGAGGTCAGTTGATTTCTATTTTCCTCTTGACTCTTGACTTTGAGAGCTCCTACTCAAATGTTCAAAATAGTGGACGACTTAATATGATTGAAAAGCATGGAAGAGTCATTGTGGTTTTCATTATTACTTGTTCCTCTGGATTACTGCATGAATGATTTCCAAGAGTCTGCTGGAGTGAAGTATATTGACCTGTGAAGTTTAATAGGGAAATTGGTGATGGTTGCATAGATTAGAGGATTCCACTTGATAAGTTTCCTGATGTTAATGTTGTGGTCTGAAGTTTTTGAAGTGTCTGACAAAAGATTCAGGACTGATTACTTTAGTACTAATCTAGTTTAGAATGTGGGTGAGAAGCGTGGTCATGATGCATGTGGTGGAAGGCACTTAGTCATAGCATCACCGATTAAGAAGCAATGTGGATGCCTTTTCTTCAAATATTCTCTCTTTGAAATGATGCACTTTCCCGTTAGTCATGTATCCTGTATATGTGTTTTAACTTTCCTTGCTATGTACGTGATGTGGCCTTTCTTCTTACCCTTCAAGAGTAAGAACAGAGGAAAGTGAGTCAAGAGTAACTGCTTATTGAATATCATAACCATCTTCTTACCCTTCAAATATTTAGAACCGCTTACATATACTAAATTACTAATAATTAACTAATTAGCCTATCAAGAGAGTCTTTGCAAGTTCAGTGCCCAAGACCGATTGGCCTAATCTTAAAGGCTTGTTTTCTGAAAGCCTGATCAGTGTCATTCTTGTATGGTTTTATTCAAATGAAATATCAATTGAGGAACTTTTGGTGGCCTCAGTATAACTTGGACATTATGTGTTAGTGGTATGTTGAGAGCCAGACCTTATGACCAAAGTTTCTATCTTAATTTTGGAGATGATTATATGGATTTTTTCCCTTCGCTCTGCCTACTTGTATTTCTGTTGTTTTGATCAAGCAGTTAAAAGAGATAAATGTAGTTTTAACTGCTTACTGATAACCATTTGATGATTTGAACTAAAATTTAACGGATTTCTGCATGTGCATGGTCCTTGGAGGGTGTGCTTTCCGGTTAGATATGTTCTTATTTGCTCCTTTAATTTGTTTTGTTGTTGTGATGATTTTTATTTTGTCTTGAATCCAGCATAAATTTCTTTATTCTGGAAGTCTTGAAGTTAATGCCAGTCAAAAGTTGGAAATCTCTAGACTCTTAATGTCCTGTTTATTATCAGGAAGAAGTTGCTAAAGAGTTTGACATTCCTGTGCAATATCAACGTTTTTGGTTGTGGGCTGAACGGGAGAACTATACATACCGTCCAAGTCGACCTTTAACTCATCAGGAGGAAGCACAACCAGTAAGTTGACTTTGGTTCCTCCGCATTCAATTTTTAACCTGAAGCATGTTTTATGACCCTTGGTTTAAACTCGTATCAGCAGCTGACCCTTGTACCTGTGTCGGCATCTGTTTAACTCTAGTCACTGAGCGAATTCTGTATATGTATTGAACAATGTGTAGTATGTTTAATTGTATGATGCTATTGATATGCATTCTTCTTGTCATAATTGGATTATTTAGGTAGTAACATTTGTAGTGAACTTTTTCCAGGTTTCTGGCAGGTGTAGGCCTAGAGGTCCACCCACATTATCTGCTTTGCTTACTTTTGTTTGTCTTGTTCTTGTATGTTATCCTAATACAATATTCTGTGTATGATGTGATCTTTGTAATAACTTCAATTAGGTAGGACAACTGAGAGAGTCAAAAAAGGCAAATAATGCAGAGCTGAAGTTGTTCCTGGAAGTGGAGCTCAGGCGGGTACTTAACTGATAAATTTCTTTTAGGTTTTGGCTTGTTTGAAGCTCTTTGTTATTGTGATGGTGCTCTATTTCTGATATTTACCATTATTCAGCATTTGCAGCCCGTATCTCCACCTGAGAAGACTAAAGAAGATATTCTTCTCTTCTTTAAACTCTACGACCCATACAAAAAGGAGCTTCGGTAATTCCCAGATCCTGCTTTTCTTTAGAGTGGAACTGTTTGTGATTACTGATGCTTTTATTTCTATGATGTCAGTTATATTGGGAGGATGTTTGGGAAGGCTGATGGGAGGCCAATGGAAATACTGGCAAGGATCAACAAAATGGCAGGCTTTGATCCTGATGAAGAGATTGAACTTCATGAGGTGGTTTGGTAATTATGTTTTGATGCATCTTGTTTCAAAGAATGTGTTCATCACATCTCACTTATCTCTTCCCCAAACAGGAAATAA